CAATCTTGGCTTAAAATCTACTTTGTCTGCAAATAAAATAGCTACCCTTGTTTTTTCCACGTGTTTTCCATCCCTTGAGTTTCAGTCTATGCTTTTTGAGTTAAATGTGTTTCTTGTATGCAGCGTATCATCACTGTTTCTTTATCCATTCTGCTAATCCGTTTCTTTTGATTGGTTATTTGAGACCATTTACATTAATGGTTATAACTGATATGTACTGACATCCTTGTCATGCTATTTTCCTGTTGTTGGTTCCCTCCCCTCCTCCTCTGTTTAATTGCTTGCTTTGCCTTGTGGATTCATTCTGTTGAGATTCATGGAATTGTTGCCTTCAATGGGTTTTTCCACAATATCATGCAGAACTTTTTGGAGTGCTGGTTTGATGTCATATATTTCTTCATGTGTCCTTTATCATGTAAGTATCTCATTTCTCCATCGATTTTGAAAGATAATTTGCATGGTACATCAACCTGGGTTGGAGATTATTTTATTGTACTGGTTGAAATACTTTACTCCAAGCTGTTCTTAACTTGAGGGTTTGTGTTGAGAAGTCTGCTGTAATTCTAGTGGGCTTTTCTTTATAGGTGATTTGTTTCTTTTTTTCTAACAACCCTGAAGTCATCTGCTTTCTCTTTGTCCAGGTAGATTTGAACCTCCTTTGTCACACCGCAAGCCAAGAGTCGGAGAAAGCAGAAAGCGCAGTTTGTTGCCTCCTTTTTGCAGCCTGTCTCTTCTCTTTCCCTGTGGGCTCCAATTCTTCCTTCAGATCCTTCTTGGTTCTGGGTGTCCACCTCCTTCCTTTTCTTCTCCGAGTTGTTGTATTCCAGTGTGTGGATTCTGAGTCTCAACGAAGTTGACCTGCTACCATTTACTCTTCTGCTACCTTCTTGGGAGAAAGGGTTTCCTTGCTAATGACATTTGGAAAACGCTAACTTGGACCACTGTGGAGGTGGTAGGATTCTGGGAACATGGAGTGTGTTGGTTGGAGAATGGAAGGCAGGAGGTGAATCCCATCTTGATCTGGCCCAGATGAAGATCATGTTTGGGATGTGGGCCTGAGTGGGTCAGGGGAGTGGCAAAAGGCAATACCAAAATTAGTGAGTTTACAGCGTTAAGTGGAGAACAACAGTCTGCTAGCAAAAAAGTAAGGAAGATGCGAGTTTGATGGATAGATAAGTCTAATTCCCTTTATCGTAGTCTTTTTTAGGGAAGGGTGTATAGGATAAATGTTTTGAAGAAACGTACTAGACTGTGATGATTGACTTTTATCTGCATGTCTTTGTGCTTTTTGAAAAGATGAATTATGATTGGAAGATCAGCAACCAAAATCCAAATTACTTATCATTTGTTTTACATGTCCCTAATATCCCATTTTTTAATAGTTTGTTGAATGATAAAAACCATCTTTTATGTATTATAAATACATATTTTCCGTGATAAGTGCTTTTCAAAAAGGCAGGCCATTTACTGGACATTTCAGGGTAGTGTTTTTAGGAGTCAGGCATCGTGGTACATGCCTACAAGCCCCACTACTCAGGAAGGTAAAGCAGGAACTTTCCAAGCTGAGGCCAGTGTGGATAACATAGCAAGACTCTGTCAAAAAAAAAAAGAAAAGAAAAAAGAAGGAAGAAAGCACAGCAGTTTTAATTAGTATGAGATAATTACAATTTCTGAATACCGAGTCCAGTCTATTATTACAGCTTTGTGGATTCTTCAGTTTTCTTAAGAGATAGAAGAACCCAGGGAGAAGCAGGAGGAGGAGGTAACTTTCTTTGATATGTCTCAGTACACTTGGCTGGGAGACAGGAGAGAATAGAGGATCAGTGTATAATAACAGCTAAAATTTGCTGAGCACTTACTGTGTACCCAGCACAATTCCAGTAGCTTTATCTGGGTTATTTCATTTAATGCCATAAGCATATTGTGAAGCTGACGATATTATCATTCCACTTTTTCAGATGGGGTAATGAGGCTTAGAAGGTTTAAGTTATTTTTCCATGATTTTGAAGTGGACAGTGTTAAAACCAGGATTTAAATCTAGTTATCCTGACCATAGAAGTCACCTTCCAAGCAGGATTTGGGTGGGTGAAAAGCAGCGTGTGGGCTTATCAGTAGTGCATAAGTCACAACTGTAACATCACAAATACAAGTGAGTATTTTCTTCAGTGCTCCTGTTCCTAAATACAAAGAACTAAAAAAGTATTACATGAGACACAGATACAAAACTCTATCTTTGCCCAGAAGGAGACAATTATATATACCTAGAGAAACAGAAATGATAATTGTTAATGTGAAGTTTTTGATGCCTGCAAAAGTAATTTTTGTGCACAGAAAATATTATTTTGAAGATATTTTTATAATATTAGATTTATTAAAGTCATAAAATTAATAGCTTAATTCTTCCTTTTTTGAGATTAGGAAAAATTATTTTATTGGAAATAAGATAAGGAGAAGGAGAATAGCTTCTGGATTTCCAGAAAGGATCTGCAATGAGTTGGCCCACTTTCTTAGTTTTTATAGTTCGACTTACTAATCTTATTTTATTTATAACTAACAACTTTTAACAACCAAAAAAAATTTGATTAATCTTTGATTCCATTAGCAAACCTGATTACCTCTACACACTTTAACCTTTATTTATGAATTTTTTTCTTTGCTCTGATCTGCAAGTAACTCGACATCTAACAAATCAAGTTAATAAATGTTGTAAATCTTAAATTCTGTTGAGTACTCTACTGCTGTTTACTAACAGTAACACTTTAACTTAAAATCTGCTGTCAAATTACACATTTTAAACGAAGTACAAGGCAAAAGGTTATTCTAATAGGCTGAATTCTCTTAAAAATCGCATACACATAGAACTTCAAATATTCCCAGATTCCTTGAAACAAAATATTCCTACTATAGACTTAAATCTTACCAATATGCATGTTTAATTCTCAGTCTTTCCAGGGTTAAAATGCTCATAGAGTAAGAATTATATGACCCAATTTTTAGTGTGGTCTTATCAGCATGCAGAGTTTCTAAACTACAGTAGTGTCCAGATTTTACCCACCTCCACCGATGGTATAGCACAAATGCCACTACCTAAAAACGGTGCCAGTCACACCAGTCCCTTGGATTCAGGTTGCAAATTACCATTCTTAAACCAGAAAAATGACCCAATTACTACACTGCCAGGTTGGATCACAGGTAGCTTCTTTCTATTCTGAATTTATTTTTGTATTCTTGCTTTCTGTTAGGCCCATAATTCTAACAGATAACTTAAATAAACCGTAGTTTCTCTAAGGGTGTTTGCTGCTCTGCCCACAGTTGTAAAGTTATGTCCTCACTGTAAGTTCACAAAGGTTTCTGCATTTTGTTTTGCAGTCAGTGCTTTTCTTTGTGAAATATAGGGTCAAGAATGTAAAGGATATAGTTTAATTTGATTTGTAAATTATGATGGTTACACTCATTACATGTAAGCATCATGACTAGAGTGCAATTTCAGGAAAATTAAATAGCAGCGAGTCAGGATTCAGAGACACAAATTCAGTATCCAAGATAAAAAAAATTATTGTTTTTTTTTTTTTTCTCCCGGTACCGGGAATCGAACTCACAACCTTGCGCTTGCCAGGCAGGCGCTATGCTGCTGAGCTAAATCCCCAGCTCCCCCCCTCAAAATTATTTTTAGGCCTCTTGCTATGAAATCAATGTAGATGTGGAGTATCAACGTGTACATTTTCAATTGGACCTGGAATGGCCCCCACATGGTTATCTGCAACAAGTACTTGATAACAAACTGGAGTTGCGTCTAACGGGGATACTCAAGCTTGGAAATAAAACACTGGCTACGTTATTCTTTGTCATTTTAGTCACCCCCTTAAAAGCTGCTGTGCTTTTCCACGCAAACAGGTGGGTGAGTCCCAGCCCAAGGCACCGTTCGGGAAGCGCTTTACTGACTTAGGTCCTTTGGCAGGTCTCGTAGCTATTCCCCCAGATGGCTTATTAGAATACAGAGAAGTTGGAAAAGATTTCACTACTACCACTCTGCCATTCTTGTTTGTCACACCCCTTTCCCCATTCATCCAGTCCCCTCCCCATTCATTAATCCAGCAAAGCAGAGATGGCTTTCTAGCGCGGTTCCAAAGGTTGTGCCTCGCACACCTTCAGCTTCAGGGTCCGGGCGGGGACGGTATTTCCTCCCTCGCCCTCCCTGGGGGACGAGGGTGGCGGCCA